TGAATGCTGGCTACCATAAAGAATAAATCATGAACAGCTCAGTCTGTGCCTTCCAACTCGTTGCCCATAGGAAGACGTTACTTGGATATGACCTAACGGAATATCTTCTGAATGGCTCCAAATGACACAAAACTCATATGGGTGAATAGAACATGATGTAATAATGTAAAATCAAGGGCCAAATGTAAAAAAAAAAAACGGCGTTCCCCTTTACACTTAACATTTATTGAACAGTATGTAATAATTTTATATTTAAAGTACTTTCAGAGGTTTGAATTCTGAATATGACCTGACTTTTCTTTTAACACAAGAACAACTTCTCTGACTGAAACACATTCATTAAAACCTTCCTCCATTATCGATCTGTGGTCAGTGCTAGATTGGAGCCTCTACTTCCTTATTACTGCAGGCCTATGTGACATCTTAATCTGGACGATGACATATATGCTTTCCTGTGATTGGTTATTTTGCTTCAAACCAAATGGAAACACCGCAAATTTATATTTCCTTTTTTTTTTTAACCTTCATATTACATTTAACCAGAGTAACTACAGATTTTCACACTCCAATCCTTTAGGTGGCAGTGATGCAATTAAAAAGGTGTTGCCGCCAAACAGAAGAGAAGACAGTTGCAGCTCAGTTCAATACATGCTAGAAGTTAGCACATTTCCCTTCAGCAGTAACGTCCTGTGGCATGCAATCTATATGGCTGTGCTTACTGAAAAAAATTTAATAAAATCGTGATCGCAATTTTGGTTTGGAAAAAAAACGTGATTGCAATTTGACTTTTTGGCCAAATCATTCGGCTCAACTCTAAACCCCATTAAAGACAACTTTATGAAAATACTCTGTTGACTGCAAGAAGGCAGAAGAAGACTGCTTGGAGGAAGAAGGTTGCCCTATGTGCAAGATGTTCTTTCGGACAGTGGAGCATATTAGCACATCTGCAGGAACAGCAACCATAACTATGTGCCAAATTCAAGGTAAAGTTTATGCTTTGTTGAATGAAAAAAGCTAAATTTAGCAACAACATTACTGAAACTAAAATTACCAGTGTTACTGAGGAATACCGCTTGCTGATAGTGCTGGTCACAAGTAGGGATGGGGATCGAAACCCGGTTCTATCGAGGACCCGGTTCCACTTTTTTCAAAACCCGAAAATCAATAACGTTTGGGCTTATCCATACCACTATCGAGTCTGGTCGTTTTTGGTTTTTTTCCTCCTGGAGGTCCTGTAACATAATTGTGTGTCCCTAGAGTCGCGTCACAGCATTTAGATCTAATCAATCCAATCACTGCAGCATGTCCACCAATTTTTTTGGAATGAAATTGTAAGCAAACAGATATTAAAATCAAAACAAGTGAAGTCTGGCAGTTAACTTCACTCACAACTCGAGGATGGCTGAACGGACGAAAAGGTCTAAAGTTTGGCTTCATTTTACCAAGCTCAAAGATAAAGAAGAAGCGAAATGCAACTTATGTTGCAAAGTCATCTCTTGTAAAGGGGGGAACACAACCTCAATGGCCAAGCACATTAGTATTGTGCATCAAATAAAGGCCAAATGCAGTACCTTCAACTGTCTCCGGGTTGAAAAGACTCCTACTCCTGCTGCCGCCGCACCACAGTCGGGCCCGTCTTCATCATCCACTCAGAGTACCACTGGTAAGCGCACACAGACTTTGTAGCTTGTCCGGTCAGTTAAAAATAATAATTGTGAAATCCGTGTTGTAATCGGCAGCATACTAGCTAGTTAGCTTGAAAAGTAAATAAAGTTTCAGACGTGCTGCGTGATGATGTGTTCAGATTGGCTCAGTAAAACGACAATTAGGTTATCATGATGCATTCAAGTGTAATGTAAAGAAAAGGGAAATTGAGTTTTTGGCAAGAAACATGAGTAATACAGTTGTACATTGCTCTAATTATTTTAGATTATATAATTAAACTATTGATGTCAACATTTATTAAAAATTACATTAATTTACAATACAATTATTTATTTGCTAAATATTTTCCTAATCACTAAAAACATGACGAAAAGTGACAGTAGACAATACATTAACCAACAATTGTGAAAATGTATATATTTTTTTAAACCAAAAGAAGACCCATCCATCCATCCATCCATATTGTCACATCGTCTTTCCACCAAATAACAGAAAAGTATCGATAGTGGTATTGATAAAGATTCGGATCGATAAAGAGTATCGATATCAATAAATATTAACGATCCCCATCCCTAGTCACAAGTTTCCCAGTAACCCTTTTGTAGTTGTTGGATTTCTTATTTAACTACTTAGCTAGGCTGTCTAGCTGTGTATTCACACTTGTAATTTCCATTTCTTCGTAGCACATGTAACTTTTTCCATATAAACTTCAAAAAGACCCTAAGTGATACATTACATCAATAGAAAAGGACAAACTGTTAAGCGGTATATCCTTATTAATCTTGGCTATTAAACAGTGGAAACGCAGTCATCGGAAATAAATTCTGTTCATTAATATACATTAGATGCCAAAAATCATAAGTACCAACGTGCACGCAAAAAAGGGAGCAAGATCCTGCAAAGCATTGAAATATTATCATTATAACTGGGATTTAATCGATTTTATTGATGGTTAAATTTGACTATAAAGATCAGCCCACGGTTCAAATTGTTTTGTTTTTTTCAAATACAAACATTTCAAAATTTAAATTTTAGCTGTAATACTAATAATGTCTCAAACCTGTGATATTTTGCTTATGGATATTCCATGGTCAGAATTTTATACTCCCCCATGCCTAAAACTAAAGAAGCTCAAGAAGCTAAATAAAAAAGGCCAGCTCTGTCCTGGAAACTCACCCAGAACCTATAAAGATTATTTAAAAAAGAAGGACTCTTGATAAAGTAAAAAACTTTATAGACAATGTAGTACAACAGAGCATCTTAAGTCAGAGGCTTTTTGACATCCAATGCAAGGCAGGCAGCTACAGCAGATCCTTCCTGCCATCAGTATCTATTACTTGTTGAAGAAATACCTATAAGGAAATAATATTAAATTTACCTTTGGGATTAATAAAGTCTTTAAAGTGAATTGAATTATTGTGGAGGCATTGGTTCAGCAGTGGAGCAGAATGTTTAAAATCACCCTACAGGCTAATAGGTAATCTGTACATGCACATAAAAAAAAAAAAAAAAAAAGTTCAGCAGTGGAGCAGAATGTTTAAAATCACCCTACAGGCTAATAGGTAATCTGTACATGCACATAAAAAAAAAAAATAAAAAAAAAAATCAACCAATTAGATATGTGAGCAAAATCTGAATTAGCCAGTGCAAGGTTGATTATACCAAAACTTTGAAATACCAGAATCAAATTTTAAATAGTATTCT